ATAAAAGAAAGTGTATAAGCAATAAATAAACACCACCAAGGAAATGTAAATTGTTTTTTTTTGTTTTTAATTAGATTTTTATCTTTTGAATCACTAAAAAAATAAAATGATTAAATCAGAGACAATATAGTAAGTTATACTAACGTGGGTGGTAATGATCGTATTTTCTCTAATGCTTGACGTAATGGTGAAATTTGTTGACGAGGTCGAATACGTCGAAAAAATTGAACTATGAAAATACTTGGAACTAATGAGAATAATTCAACCATTATACCAATTCCAATCTTAAATAAATCACAATCTTTTCAATAAAATGATAATTTTATGAAATTTAGTATTATGCTCAAAAGTTAAATTTAACAATTCATAAACTATGAAGATTATCGTTAAGTATATTCAGCTTAATTCTTTATAATATAAAAATGATACATACTTGTTCTGGTGCTATATAAAGCGGACCAATCGATAGACTATTACTTTCTGTATTATTTGTCGATTTTGCTTCAGCAGACAAATCATAATACATTATATTAAGTAACATTGAAGCAAATAATAAAACAAAACAACAAGTACATCGTTGTACACGTGTAAATTTATTTGATGGTGGTCGAGAGAAAATTGAAAACCATAAATGACCATCGGATACACTAAAATAAGCTTTTTTCGATAATACATAAGAGAAATTTTGTTTTTCCATTTCACCAGCAATGGGTAAAGTTCGTTCAATCTAAATTTAGAGGATGAGAAATTCATAAATGAGAATAAAACTTACAAGTCCATCTCCTTGTTCAACTGAAAACCAACGTTGAGCAATAAAATAAAATTTTTCCATTGTTTGTAAATCTCGAACAATAATATATTTTAAAAACCATGATGCTGATGAACCTTGTCCTGAATTATCATGCCAAATACGAATATAATTTAATAATCCTAATGATCTTTAAGAACAACACATAGACATATTTTAAGTGTTAAACGAATTTACTTTGGAACACTCATAATAAATGAATCAATGCCACCACGTTGAAGTATTTTTCGATGAGGATCTGATAATGTTCGAACACGTGTTTCATCATCATCACTCGAGAGAATAAAATGAACCTAATCAAATTAAGATTTATATATATTTAGAAATAAAATTCATCTTTTTTACTTTTGATTGTGTTCCAGAATTTGCTCGTTGACCAGTAAAAACAATAATTTGATAATAATACTGATCAGATTTATCGTTATCAGGTAATGGTGTTACTCCTAACTAGAAAAATAAAATAAATCTAATTAATAAATATTATTAATTATTTTAATTTACTTTTTCAATATCTTTCTTATCTTTAAAACGTCCAAAAATCATCAAAATAATATAAGCAATAGACATACAAATAACTGTTAAATAAATTGTTTTATTTTTCAGAAAACCAGCATTTGCAAAAACATAACTCCAATTAATTGGTTCTGGTAAAACAATAAAACCACCAGCAAATGATGTTAAATGAGTTGATAAACATTCTGTTTCATAATGATTTGTTAATGATCCAACCTATGGTTAAATAAATATCAAATATTCTTTATTTTCCTAATACATCTTATACTTACAATTAATCCATCTGATTTCCAATTATTATTATCATCAAGATAATAACAGCCTGATGTATATATACGAAGTTCATAATTTGATGTAAAAGTAAATGGTTCATCGGTGATTGGTAAAGATGTATTTATTGATGAATTATTTAAACAATAATTATTCATTTCAGTTGAATTTAATTCTCTTATTCCAAATATTAATGATTGATGACCAGGTGTTTGTTGATTATCAATAAAATATCGATAAATATCATCATTGGTTAAATCTACTATTACAAAAAAAGAAATCTATATGAATGTTAAAGGAAAGAAAACATACTGAAAGGACAAAAAATTGTCCATCCATCAATAAGATTAATTGAACTATTTAATTGTGGTGTTTGATCAAATTTATAAATAAATAAATAAGCTAAATTTGTATTTAAAGACTGAATTTCAAAATGAACTGAAATTGGAAGTGAACTTGTTATATTAATATAATGATAATTAAATAATAAATTATTAATAGTTGAATTAATTGATGTAATATTTTGTAAATACATTGATGGAATTAATACATTTGCATCACGAGGAATTATTAGTTTTATTGAATTATTTTCATTGGCTTGAAACGAAATTTCATTTCCATTTTGATCGATAATTGAAAGTGAAATTGTTCTTGAAAGATTTGTATTTGAAGATTTTCCAAATGAAGCAAGTACATCCATTTTTGACTACAAAAAAAATTCAAAAAATTCTTTAAATAATATTACAAAAAAGCTCACTCGAACTGAAATCGAAGAGTTATCATTTATATTCAAATTAAAATCTGATGGAATATGAAATTGAGCATTTCCAATTTGTTTTACAATTCTATCCGAAAGTGATGTTACAGATATTGTTTCTAATGACATATATGTTTGAGATGTATTTATTATTGAATTTTGACCAATATTTAAATGAATATTTAATGAAGATGTTATTAATGAAATAATTGATGTTACTTGTGTGCTAATCTCATTTGCTAATTGTTTTTGATAATATATGTTTCGATTTTGTTCAATTGATGCCTCATCACCACCACCAAATAAATCTTTTAGGAATAAAACAAAAAACTAGAGATAAATCATTCATTAAGAACTGTTACTTGTATTTGACCATGGAGATTCAAGATCAGTATCATAATCAGTAGGTATGGAGTTTGCACGAGAATAATCTAAGTCAAGTGTACTTGCTCGTTGTTGTAATGGTCCATTTACAGCCTAAATTAATTATTTATAATTTCACAGATTAACAAATGATGAAATTGCTCTTTTCGAAATATCTGATTTTCATAAAAGAAACATTATCAAAAATTGCTCTCAAGCTTTTGTTGGTGTTAGTTATATTGTTTTAAAAGAAGCTCTGAAAACATGTCTCTTGTTAATAAGAACTACGGATATTTCTTTTTCAGTAATAAAAGTATCAACTCGAAAGACAGATATTTAAAATTTTCGATCTCTATTGACTTTTTGGCCTGCTTACACTTAGCGAAATTTATCTATACAAAAAACCACGTTTTATAGAATATTATTTAATAATCTGAAGTTTACGGTTAAGACATTTGAAGCACATTGTATTAGTTGATTTGCTGCTACTTGAGCATCTTCATATGAAATTTGTGTTGCCATTGAAGATAAAGCAAGAGATAATTGATAACATCTATTTGATACAATTGACTAAAATTATACAAAATTTTATAATTTGAAAAATGATTTCATTTATAGTACTAAAGCAGCTCTTGTTAATTGATTTGTTGATTGAGTTATTTGTGCTAATGCTGATGATTGTAATTTAATACTATTTGATGTTGTAATAAGAAGATTAGTTGTAAATGTCATTAAGTAATCTCGAAGATTTGCTTGAGAATTTAATATTTTATTATATTCAATCAAAGGTGATTCATTGAAAGATGTTGAATTCTATATTAAAATCAAACAAAAATCTATTTACTTCAATTCAATTTAATTTTATTACTCCTTGTAAACTTTGACTTCCTAATGATGATACTAAAATAGTTGCAGCTGGTATTCCATCTAAAAAAAAATTATTTTCATTATCTATAGTCAACTAAATGTTAATAATTACTTGAAACAGCCTGGTCTATATTTTCACTATTCAGCTGATTGAATTGTTGAGAAATTGCTGTAAGAATTTGTCCAACAGTGTTTTGATTTCCACTTGAAAGTAATTGAACAATTGGATTATTTGTTAATGCATTTGGTGAACTTTGTAGACTTGTCATTAAATCATTTATTCCTACAGAATCTACGATAACATATACAGAAGACATATTTACTTCTACAACACAATCAAGTAGATCACGAATAGAAATAACAATATTGAGTAATGATGTTTGATTATCTCCACTTGGTAATCGAACTTGAAAATCAGATACTGATGAATATGCAATCATTAATTTTTGCGATACATCTGTAGTCCATGCTTAAATTATAAGAAAATCGATTAATAAACTTTCTCTAGGATTAAAATTTAAAAGATGAAATAACTTCTACAAATATGAATTAAATTCTGAATCTACAAAAATCTATATTTTGTTCAATATTTCGGAGTAAAATGAGTGGAAAATACATCGTTATTCTTTAATATAATTACAAAGTTAAAATTACGAGGTCTATCTCTACTACGAACGATCTGTGACGGTGTGGGAATCATTTGCGAGTCATAAACGGTAAAAGATATCTTAATCTTTATTTAGCATGGTGGTGTATCATTCAAGAGAGATGTCCAGACATTCACATTCTTAGATACTAATTAAATATCGAGTATCTGAATTTTGTCCTTAGTGTCATCATCAATGTTAACAGAAGGAAGATCTATATCAGCACTACACGAACTATTTCGTAGCTTTCTTATATAAAAAAAGAATTATACCGTATAATGAATAATCTTTAATTCCATCTGTATCGTACCAATCTGGACACTCAATAGTGAATAAAGTAGTTGTTGTACCATTAAGAGGATTGATTGAACATGAACCATTATACGGAGGTTGATTAATAATAAAATTTAATGCACTTGTACTTGTTTCATTTAAAAATGTATAAACAACTTCAAATCGCCAAAGATTTATCTGAGGGTTACTGAGAAATAATTGATTTGTAGCTGTAAAATTACTTGTATTTTTACCTATAAAAAATAAAACGAATATAAATATTTCTTAACCATAAGAAGATATCTACCAAAAAACCAAGTATTTTCATATAAAATTGTATTATTAAATAAAGTCCATTGTGTATAGTTTGAAGATGAATTATCAGATCCTTGATAAATATTCCATTTTATATTTTGAAGATTGATACAATTTCCAACACAAATAGCAAATAGAGCCACTTGTGTTGTTGGATTAACAAATTGATATTCAAGATTTGGAACACATAATATTGATATAACACAACTATATTCAAAAGATTTCTTTCTAAGATTTAATTAAATAAAAAATTTATTTACCCAATAACAATTAATTGTGGTTGAGTATCTTCAACTGTAACAAGTACATAACCTGTAGCTTGAATAGATGAATTTTTACGATTTTCCATATAGACCATAAATTGATAGATTTGATTTGATTGAAGTGAACCACCAAGAACTGTTAGAGATGAATTAGGTGATGCAGTTAAATTTCCGAATATTAATCCTATTCAATTATAAATTTTCTTATTTTCACGTATGAAATTATCGAGAATTAATATTACCTGATTGATTTGATAAGCATGATGGATTATAAGGATCAGTTTTGGAATTTTCAATTGTCAATAATATACCTTGGATATTTGGGAAATTGTATGAACCATAAATTCGACAATAGTATTCATATTTCCATTTCTATAATCCATAAAAATAGATTTACTAAGATATCTGAAACAACTTCTTTTATTTTCGATCTTCCGGATCATCGGGGAACATTCACATCATCACATTGTTAAGCTTCATTCCTACTACGTATGGTATCAATTTTCAATTTAAAAATCATTGCCTGTTTTCTTTACTAGTAGACATCTTCATTAGAATATCCTTGACTACGTCTATACGTTGCATATATCATATTTTCTTTTCTGTCTTATATTTGGTACTCAAAACTGATTTGATGGGCTCTAATTTTACATGTCTCCACTTTTCACCGTAACTTTGTTCTTGACATAATAATATTCGAAAATGAAAATATTTAGAATTTAACTCATATAACTATATTCAAGTAAAACGAACGTATCATAGTCTCGTTCAATATAATCTATTTTATAATCAATGAAGAATAAATAATACTTACACTCGCATCAAATGAATCTTGATCAGGATCAACAGAATAGGCTCCAGGATCAAGTTGAAGATCTTGTTGACTGCCACGTGTTATCATTGATGTTCCTAATTGAACAGGATTTGCTGTTATACCTGTTGCAGTTACTCTTACATAAGCTGAAGATGATGATTTAAAATTTGGTGAATCAATCATTGTGACAGTTAATGTTAGTTGATAAACGCCATAGTCAAGAGTTTTTGATGGAATATAAAGTTCACTAAATGTTGTACTGATTTTGTTATTTAGTTGAATTCGAAATAAACATATCGATGAACAGTTTTTGATTATCCATTCTGTAGTTGTTGCAAGTGAGCGAGTACAATTCAATTGAATCATTGAACTAATAAAAAAATCTTGACTTCGTCGATATTGTAATGGAGATGTCAAAGATGATTGTCCAGGAATCAATGTAATCGTCGGTGAATAACAATCTAATTTAGAAAAAAAACATCAATAAACTATTTTTCTATACTATTCATATTATTACTTTGATCGATATCTAATCCTTGAGAAGTTATTATGGAAGCCGTGCTAGTTGAGGTACTGCTGGTGGTAATCGTGGTAGTGCTACTTGAAGTACTGCTGCTGCTCGTTGTACTACTACTTGTAGTACTACTGCTGCTCGTGCTGGTACTGCTTGTGGTGCTGCTGCTACTTGTTGTAGTACTAGTGATGGTAGTGGTAGTAGTAGTAGTAGTACTTGAAGTGCTGCTGCTGCTTGTAGTGGTGCTACTTGAGGTACTACTGCTTGTGGTGGTAGTGGTACTTGTGGTACTGCTGCTACTTGTTGTAGTACTTGTGGTGGTAGTAGTAGTAGTACTGCTAGTGGTGGTCGTGCTAGTAGTGCTACTTGAGGTGCTACTGCTGCTCGTACTAGTACTACTTGTGGTACTACTGCTACTTGTTGTAGTACTTGTGGTAGTAGTGGTAGTGGTAGTGGTACTTGTGGTACTGCTACTACTTGTAGTGGTACTACTGGTAGAGGTCGTGGTAGTAGTGCTACTTGTAGTACTGCTGCTTGTGGTACTGGTGGTACTAGTACTAGTGCTACTGGTGGTACTGCTACTGCTCGTAGTAGTACTACTAGTCGTAGTGCTACTCGTGGTACTGGTGGTAGTACTGCTTGTTGTACTGCTACTGCTTGTAGTCTTACTGGTGGTAGTAGTAGTAGTGGTACTGCTGCTGCTGCTCGTAGTAGTAGTAGTGGTGGTGGTCGGTATTGCTGAAATATAAAACAATTGTGCATCACTCAATCAAGTTAAAGAGAAGTTATACTAAAAACATTAATATGACATCAATCAATTCAAGCAACATTTCATTTGTTTTTTGTCAAATTTTCAGACACTAGTCGCAAAAAACTAATTATCAACTACAATTTCATAATGTCCTATTAGATACAAACAAACTTACTGCAGTTGTTATTTTCAAGAGCGAATTGTTGTACTCGACTATTATTTCGATCAGTAACATATATATTTCCATAGCTATCAAAAGCCATACTTTGTGGAAAAGATAGTTGAGACGCAGATGAACCACCTCCCGAACATCCCACTATACATCGAAAACCATAATAACTTGAAGCAATAATACGATGATTATAACTATCGACAATAAATAAATAACCATTAGCATCAAGGACAATTCCAGTTGGATAGTTGAGTATAATATTTGCTGATGAACCATTACCAACGATTGTCACTCCATCTAACTGACCAGTTTGAATATATTGAATACGATTGTTAGCACAATCTGCAATATATAAGTTTAAATTACTATCGACATAGATTCCTTGAGGAGAATTAAGCATATTCGATAGTGATCCAGCAGAACCATTTCCGGCTGCAATTGTCGGAATGGTTGTACCATTATTAAGTAAGAGTCTAACAACTTGATGAAGATTTTTAAGTGAACAATAAAGATTATTATTTATATCAATAAATAAACCATAACAGCTTCCATTAACATTCATAACTGTAACACGATTTGATGTGTTAAATATATATTTATCCACTCGACCATATGAATAACCATTATCAATATAAATATCACCAGTAATAGACATAAAAAGACTATATGGATTACTCAAATTACTATAACTATTACTTGTTGATGTATTGCTCCATTGAGGCCATGATAAAATAGTATTACTAACTGGATTAGGTACATACACGGTATTAATTCCATTAATAAAAATACCATATGGTAATGCACCAATTGTACTACTTGATGCAAAAGTTGATGCACTAGAATACCATAAAGAATTATAACAAAATGTTGGTTGATTATAGGAAAGAACTAAAATAAAAAAAATTCTGCCATCGAAAAAATAAAATAAAAATAACTTACTACATGAATTTGATGCTAATATAAACTTTTGCACTCTATTATTAAATCTATCAGCAACAAATAGATTTCCATAGCTATCAAATTTTAACATTCCTGGATAATATAACTGATTTGATGTAGAACCAGATATTGTTGTACATCCAAATAAACATCGAAAGCCATATGGTCCTGATCCAATTATTCGATGATTAGAACAATCCGAAACAAAAAGATATCCATTACTATCTAATATAATACCATTTGGATTACTAAGTGTAATAGTTCCTGGTACACTTGCTCCTGCTAAAGTTATTCCAGTTAATTGCCCAACAGGAAACATTTGTATTCTATTGTTACCGGCATCTGCAACATATAAATTAAATTTAGCATCGACAAAAATTCCCTGAGGCGAATTAAGTGTAGTTGCTGTTGATCCAGCTGTACCGTTGCCAGCAACAATAGTTGATGTGAGTGCACTATTATTTAACCATTTCTTAACAACTTGATGAGAAGACAATGCTGAACAATATAGTGTATTACTTATATCAACAAAAATGCCAGCACATTCATAAGGAACTGACATTACAGAAATACTTATGTTTGAATTTAATGAAAATTTATCAACTCGATGATTATTTGCACCATTATCAACATATATATCACCAACAGGAGTAGCGAAAAGATCATATGGTGTACTCAGACTACCAGAAAGAATTTTATCTGGACTATTACTTCCTTCGAACCATATTACAACCTGATTAGTTTGTTGATTAGCTACATAGACAGTATTATTAATACCAACAAAAACACCATATACGGCATTTCCAGTTGTACTACTATTAGCAAATGTAATTGCATTTATATACCAAGTTGTTGATGGACAAAAATTTGGTTGATTAACAGTCGCACCTAAGAAAAAAGTGGAAATTAATTACATATCTTGCTCACTTCTGTTACAAAAAATATTGTCAAATCATTCTTATTTAAAAGAATCAATCCAATTTCAATGAAGAAAAAGAATATCCTGCTATTTTCCTACAGCTATTACTGGTTTTACCTCTATATAGAGCGCCGATCAGCCTCAGAATTCTTTCGGTTAATCACTGAAGTAAAGCAGCTCAACTTTCAATCATTTACAAGATCAACCTTACAAGACCTACTTGTTGTAGTATTAGTGGTAGTAGTAGTGCTACTTGTGGTACTGCTACTGCTTGTAGTGGTTTGACTAGTGGTGGTAGTAGTACTGCTACTTGTAGTACTGCTGGTGGTGGTGGTAGTAGTACTAGTAGTACTGCTGCTACT